CTGCTTTGTCAGGGCAGGCAAGCCAGGCATGCTTTGCTACTTGCTCGTCTGTTGGTACAATAGCTCTCACCACCTTGTCTGGATGGGCAGGGCAGCAGCAAGCAAGGTGAGCTCGCTCTGCTGTAAACTGGTTTGGTGAAGTGGCTGAGTGTGGACTGAGCAGGTACTGTGTGCCTCCTGACATTGGTCCAGGGGTGTGGAAGCATTCATAGCCCCTCACCAGATAGGCATGAGTGTCAGATGGAGTGGTACAGGCTTGCTTTCCATCATTCAACAGTTGTTCAAGTGGCTGGAGGGGAGATGTAGTGTGGGCCTGGTGTGATGGTGGGCCTGAGCACCAGGGACACTGTAGCCATGGTGGCACGGTGAGGGCCAGCAAGAAGTGGGGGTGGTGTACAGGGCTAAGTGGGAGGTCAAAAGAAAAGAAAGAACAACAAGAACAAATTAATTGCAGAGTGGTGGGGCCAGCAGATGGCAGCAGGCCCATGTGCCAGTGGCACTCTATCCACAGTGGTGCAGTGGGGTTGGTGGGAATGTTGTGGGAGAGGTGGAGTATGGGGTCAGGAGGGAGAGATGAAGATAAGTAAGAAAGGAAAAAAGAAAAAGAGAGAAAAAATAGTGGCACAGTCGGTGCTGGTGAGTGGAGGTGGGATAGACCTGGGGACAGGTAGGAAGGGAGGGGAGGTGATGTACTGGGCTAGGTGGGAGAAAGAAAAGAAAGGAAAAAAAAGTAAAAAAATGGCAGCACAGTGGGGGCCACAGGTGTGGGCGAGACAGACCCAGGGCAGTGGTTGTTCAGTGCACTGGTGGCTCTCTAGCGGTGGTGGTGCAGCAGGGTCCAGCAGGAAGTGAGGGCAGTGGCATAAAGGACGAGGTAGGAGGGACAAAGAGAAGGAAGAGAAAGAAAAAAAAACACTGACGTAGTAGGAGCTGGCAGGTGGGGGTGGAGCAGACCAGGGCCGGTGGCATGCTAGTGGCTTTCTAACCATGGCAGTGTGGCAGGGTCCAGTGGCCAGGGGGTGAGGTGGCATACAGGGCTAGGTGTGAGGAAGAAAGAAAAGGAAAAGGAAAAATATAAAAAACTGGTGGCATGTTGTGGGCCAGTGAGTGGGGGCAGGGTGGACGCAAGGGCCACTTGGAAGGGAAGGGAGGTGATGTACAGGGCTAGGTAGGAGGAATGAAGAAAAGAAAGAAGAAAAAGCAAAAAAAAAAAAAAATGGTGGCGCAGTGGGAGGTGGCAGGTGGGGGCATGGTGGACCCGGAGCGGTGGCGCACTGGTGGGTTTCTACCAGTGGCGGTGCAGCATGGCCCAGAGGGAAGCAAGGGAGATGGCATACAGGGCTAGGTGGGAGGGAGAAAGAAAAGGAAGGAGAAAAAAAAAAGAGTGTCAAGAACTGGTGGGTGGAGATGGGGTGGATGTGGGGTGGCGGTGTGCCAGTGTCTCTCTAGCTGAGGCGGTGTGTCGAGGCCTGGTGGAAAGGGGTGAAGGTGATGTATAGGGCTAGGTGGAGGGAGATAGAAAAGGAAGAAAGGGAAAAAACAAGGGCATGGTGGGTGGGGGTCAGTCGGACTTGGGGTGATGGCATTCCAGTGGCTCTGTAGCCAAGGCGGTGTTGTGTGGCCTGGTAGGAAGGGTTTGATGTAGGGTACATGGCTAGGCAGGTTGGGGTGGGGCAGATCAAGGCTGGCAGTGGGCCAGTAGCACTCTAGCCAAGGTAGCATGGCATGGCCTGGTGGGAAGGAGTAGGGGTGGCATACAGGGCTAGGTGGGAGGAGAAAGAAAAGGAAGAAAGGGAAAAAAGAAAAAGAAATGGTGTGGCAGGAACCAGCAGGTGAGGGCTGGGCAGACCCAGGCTGGTAGTGGGCTGCTGGCACTGTAGCCAAGGTAACACAACATGGTTTGGCAGGAAGGGGTAGAGGTGGCATACGAGGCAGAAGGGTGGGGGATGGCAAAGCGTGTTTCTCTGGTTACCAGGTGCTCTGTCTCCTGATGGGGGCTCTGTGAAGTTGGCTTCCTGTATTCCCTGTCCAGGGTCATTGCTGCCTTTGCTCCAAGATGGCGGTGCTGTGCCATGTTAGTTGGCAGGAGACCTCCATTCTGTATCTCTCCTCATTCTCTGTTTTCCTTCAGTTTCTTCGTCCTTCGGTGTTTGATCTAGTTCTTTATCCCTTCATATGATGCTTAGGGTTCCAGGATTGATGGTTGTATCTGTTTTACTTCTTCTTTTGGGTCTTTGCTGCAGAGGGATGACATGATGTGACTGTCTAGGATGCCATGTTGGCTCTGCCCTCTAAATGATACTTTTAAAATCTGTCCAATTGCATTATCCCTTCCTTCATGCCAGGTACGAGGGTCCAGTTAATATACTAAAAGCTCACACCCTACGGCAAAAAGTCCTAATGCAGTGGGGCCCCAGGAAGGATGGATCACTTTATGATTTGCACTTGTGGCACCCTAATCTGGGAGGATGTGCACACACGTGATGACTAGTAAGAAAATATTGCATCAAGGAGGGCGTGTGTATGTTAGGATCATCTCTCTAGCCCAAGCTAGCACTTGCCATGGGAGCAGACCATTCCAGTTTGGGAGAAATATATTTTGCCACTGAAGATGGACCTAGCTCTGATGCATAGGATACTGTGTTCCCAACCCCAATTACCCTAATGAAGAAGGGAAGTGGGCAATACTTATGCAATATCACAGTTCTGATGTCAGGTAGACCTGCCACTAGCTGAGTGTCTTTGGATAAATAGCTTAACATTTTCTGACAAATCATCCAATGACAAGAGATTGTGAACAGTGATCGCTCTCTAACTCAGTGGCTATATCCACCAGTAACCAGAGAGTGAAGGAAGCCTATGACCCAGATATTCCTGCTCCAGAAAAGTGTGCTGGGGTGCAGGGGACCTGGAGTACAGATGACCATGAGACGGGGGAAATGCAGGCAGATTTGAATGGGGAGGCAAGAAGGGACATCTCTAATGGGTACTGACTGGCTCTGCTGGGTACTGGTCAGCTCTGATGGGTGCTGGTTGGCTCTGCTGGATACTAGATGGCTCTGACAGGTACTGAGTGGCTCTACTGGGTACTGGCCAGTAGCTCTGCTGGGTGCTAGCTGGTTCTGATGGGTACTGGCCGGCTCAGCTGCATACTGAGAGGTTCTTCTGGGTACTGGCTGGCTCTGATGGGTACTGAGAGGCTCTCCTGGGTACTGACAGACTCTGATAGGTACTGGCCAGCTCTGCTGGGTACTGAGAGGCTCCAATGGGTATTGGCCGGCTCTAATGGGTGCTGGCTGGCTCTGATGGGTACTGAGAGGCTCTCATGGGTACTGGCTGATTCTGTTGGGTGCTGACTGGCTCTAACAGGTACTGAGAGGCTCTACTGGATACTGGCTGGCTCTGATGGGTACTGGCTGACATGTAGGCCAGGGTGATGAGCCTCACAGGGGCTGGGAAGGGAAGCAGCGGTCATATTGCCTCTGGAGGCCGCTCAAGCCCTTGAAGTTTTCTTCTCTGGCTCTGTCTCTCTTAAGGGTCATCACTACCTGTCACATTTCATCTCTTCTTTGAAAATCTCCCCTCTAGGGTTTCACTCACTTGTTGAGTGGCTTCACATGAAAAATACAGCTAAATATTAAAGAAAATTCAGCATTTCTGCATGCCAGTTAGAGCACTAAACGTTTGTGTATTTTAATAACAGCATTTCCAGTTTGTGTCACATGGCCCTGGACATGTACGTCCCTGCCTGAAGACGTCCAGTAGAACACTGGAGACACAATGTTTTGCTGAGGGCAGTTTGTGTTGTGACTTGCAAGTGCCACTTCACATCCTGGTACATCGGGTTTTTAGAAAAATAAATATCCTCCATTGTACATGTCTTCATTTGCAGCTGTGAGAAAAACTCAAAGAATTGAAATGCCCTGCTCCGTCCCTCATTCTTTCCCACCTTCAGCTCAACTGGCTGGAGAAGGAGGATACAGCATTCTAACACACATGGTCACTCTTACTGCAGGCCTCTCCTGATCTTTCATTTATAGCCAGAGAGGGCAGTTCTGGTCAGTGGGGGGGAAGGGGAGGGGCAGTCTCAGAGGGCAGGACAAGCCTGAGTCCATGTGGAGAGGGTCCCCACAGAGGTGACTTTCAGGTGCTGTGCAAACACGGGGTGCCAGTGAAGACTGGACAGATGGACTCTTGAAGGATGAGTTCCACTGGCAGTCCAGGCAGGGCCAGAGGCCTGTCCTAGGTGATGTTCAGCTGCACTGAGGTTCCCTGTGGTCTTGCTATTTATCTCCCTTGATTTTATTATGTATCTAATTCCTAGCCTATGTCAGCTGGGCTCAGGGAAGGCTGTGTCAACCCTAAGTACAAAACGTAAACAAGGCCTGACGTGCAACCTACCAAGGAATGGTGGTAACAGCCCTGAGTTAGAAACCTCTGAGGACAAGGTAGTGACTGTCCCTTTGCACAAGACCCTTTATCTAGTGCTCAAAAGAGAGGTCCTTTAAGAGTGAGTGAGGGGGAGGAATCGGAGGATGAATCATGGAATGTCTGTGTGCCAGGTGCTTTACACACGACGCCAAAGAAATAGAAACAACTTCTATTAAAAACAAAACTTTTCTCACATTATTTAAGAGGCACAGTCTCATAATTAAAAAAAAGAAAAAAGAAAGCGTATAAGACAAAGATAAAATCATTGTACTCCTACAGCCATTACTAACATGTTCTTTTCCAGAGGTATAACAAGCACATAGATACTGGGATTGTACTGCATTTGCAGCTTTATTTCCTTTTGCCCTGTTATAATGTGAATATTTTGAGTAAGTATTCTTCAATAGCATCAACTGACTATAGGCTATTTTGTTATATGGATGGGTAACTTATCATTCTCCCACTGTTGGGCATTTGGGTAATTTCTAATTTTCCACTCTTTTAAATAGCTCTTGCATATTAAAGTACACCAACAGCCATTCATCCATTTTGCATCTCTTTGACTACTAGCAAAATTCAAGTATGTTTCAAACATGCATGTCATTTTTAAGCAGGGGCTTGACTAATCTTCTCTGTGTATCTTTCCAATTTTAGTGTACATGCTTCCCAAGCAAGCATTAAGCTCACATACAATGTTCACGTTTCACATTATTGGCCCTTTATACTTCTGTGGTTGTTCATTCTGTGACTTAAGTAACACCGTGTACTATTCACAAATGATTCTAGAATATGTCCAGTTCTCTTCTCTTCTGCCTCACATACCTGGGATCTCTGAAAGGCAGGCGATCAACACACGTGCCTCCCCTCCCCCTCGGCCAAGCTCTCTTAAGAATGACAGCAGCCAGGCCAAGGCTAACGTTCCCACGGCAGGGCTGGCTAAGCTGCCACGGTCTGGCCCCAACCCTTTGCTGAGCACCCCACTGGGCCCTGTCTCACCCAGATCACTGGCCCGACTGAGGCTACACTGGCAGCAAGGCATTTGGGGGAGCGTTCGTCTCTGCACCTCAGCATTAGTCTGTAACTCAATTTAAGAAACAACTTGCATTAAGTAATTAATCACAAATACTTCTGTTTTTCAATTCATACTTACACTTGAACTACCTTTATTATCTCATAAATGCAAAGTCTCAACTAAAACTTGTGAAAGCTTTAAAAATCTTCCATAACTCAAAATGTATTTTGAACTGATTATGTGCTAAAAAAAGGTATCAGATTGGTTGCGTTTACAGTTACCTGCTATCTGCCCTGGTGGTGCAGTTGTTAAGAGCTCGGCAGTTTGAATCCACCAGCCGCGCCTCAGAAACTCTATGGGGCAGTTCTACTCTGTCCTATGGGGTTGCTATGAGGCTAAACAGGATCCAGGAGAGCTTCCAGACTTACACTAGGAAGAAAGTCCTGGCGACCTACTTCCAAAAATCAGCCAATGAAAACCCTATGGGTCACAGCAGTCCGATCCCCAGTCATGAAAATGGTGCAGGACCTGGCAGCACTTTGTTCTGCTGTGCCTGGGGATGCCACGAGTCAGGGGCTGACTTGATGGTAGCTAACGACAAATTTTTATTTAGGTGAAATAAAAAAAAAACATTTTTTTAACACAAATGCATATTTGCCAAGGAAGAATGGTTTTGGAGCGAAGAAGTTTATTTGTGATCCCAAACCTGTCTTTACTGCATACTCAGCCCCGTCGGGTTCTTAGTTTAGGTCTGTCTCTCCTGCTGGGATCCGGTCTCTTCCATGAGACACCACCTCATCCATCCTCTGCTATATGCCTAGCACAGGGCTTGGCTTGCAGCCAGCACTTCAACGACATTTATTGCAGGGATGAAAGTAAAAGCATTGCCCTTCACTTTTACAGATTAGAATTTGGAGTGTATTTTTACAGCAGAAAATATTCATTCTGTTATCATTTAACATCTTACCGGAAAAGCATTATTCAAACTCACAATACACGTGAATGAATGAACTTATGTATGGAATAAATAAAGGGTCATGTTTCTGGATCTGGAAAATAGCAACAGTATTTTTTGTTTGAGAAATCTCTCGTGTCTGTACAGGATGGATGCTACCTTGAGGGTTGTTTGGGGTAAATTCATGAATGAGGAAAAAGCTCTTCTAGGTGACCTAAATCTCAGGGATCCCATGGCAAGAAATGGCAGGTGACTAAAAAAATCAACTAGACCATACTAAACTTTGTCTATACACAGAAGGGGGGAAGCCTGGCCACGACTGGGATGTCAGACATCAGAAGTGTGGTCTAGACATACTAAACTCTGTCTATACACAGAAGAGGGGAAGCCTGGCCACGACTGGGATGTCAGACATCAGAAGTGGGATTTTGTGGACTGAGGCTCTAAAAGGGAAGGTGGCTTAGGTGAAAACACAAAATTGACTCATCACTAAGGAAGAAAAGGCAGAGTACTTAAGCATATCTGATATGGGTAAAGAGAGAGTTCTTGAATAAAATCAGATCATACCAGGCAAGGTTTTCAAAGGAGGGAAAAAGGTATGTAACCAGGAATAAACATAAAAGCAAAAATAACAATAGTGCAAGGGAATAAAAACCCAGAACGACTTGAAACTTGAGGGGGGACGTCATCAAAAAGTAGTTTTACTGTTAGGCTCAAATCAAGAAGAGATGCAGGGAATGCAGGGAAGGGCACCGCCTCACCCATCTCCTCACCCCCAGCGGTGAGCACAGCGCTCGGAACCCATCAGACACTCCACCAAGATTACTCGAAGTCAAAATTATTTAATTTCTGCTCAACTGTTCTTTTGGGGAGGCGGGGGGGGGGGAGAAATAGGAGATTTTCAGAACGAAAAATGTGGACCAACCAACATAAATGAGAAATCCTGAAATGACTACACTTGATGGCAGACTAACAAGGACAAACGTTGACTCAGTATAAGTAAGCACTTGCTAATAACTCAGTTTTGTAAACGCCATTATCAAATTTATTACCAGTGAAATTTCCCTCATTTTCCCCCATTTATGTCACCATTCTGGATTACTGACATATGACAGCACCAACTTTTTATTTTCTATTATGTATGAATATCATGTATGATTAAATTAGAAAGTAAATTATGAATTCCTATTCCTTCTGCTCCTAAGAATTATACAAAACTGCATTAAACATCTTTCTCCTTCCTTCAAGCTATTTTGTGTAAGCAACATTTAAAAACAAAATAATTAAAATTACAACAGTGATGTCCTCCTGTATAAAGCATTCTAATCCAAGGTGCTAAAGTGTTATCAAATAAAAATCATTCATCATCCGCAATATTTTTCTAAGATCAAGTGGGTATTTTATTAAAATGGAAACTGAAATACCAGAAATCACATACAGAACCTGTGAAAACAGAACAGCAAAACAATTGCTCAGCTCCTACTCAATCAGTATTTCTTTAGGGTGTGATGTTCTTAGGGGGAAGTGTGTGAAACAGAAGTCGCAGTTTGGGGGAAAAAAATCAACCCAGTGGACATTATTTTAGACTTTTGTGGAGAAAAAATATTAGATAACAAAGTAAACTGTGGAAGTCAATGTCGAAAAGACAAGATCATTTTTATAATCATGAACTTTATTTTTATTTGCCATGGCAACATTTTCAGGAAAGGGATTTTACATCTGGTTTTTATGATTAATTTTACAGGCAAATTCTAATATACAGTATTTACTCTGAACTGGTTTTTAAAATCAATGGAAAACAATACTGCAGATATTAAAGATTGTGGTGTTTTTGTTTTTAGTTAGCAAAGACTGAGAGACTTTAAGTTCTTAGGGTCAGTATTACTTTGTTATGGCGATGCTTTACCGAGAAAACAGTGGGTAGCTTTACCCCAAGAAGATTAAAACACACGATGCATCTTCAATTAATGACATAGTTGGAGATTGACATCCGCCATCATGATCATTTATTCAAACATAGTCTTTCAAATTGCTGCAGCAGAGAAATGAAAGGGAGATGTGGAAAGACCATTTGAAAATAGAATTCAAGCATCAGAATTAAGAAAAATAGAAAGGCCTCATCCCCAAAGACAAACATCAGGTATTTTATATGACAGTATAATGAATTTTCAAATGTGTGCATAAGCAATGCAAACATGACCACTCCCACTAATTCAGCAACATGGAAACTACAGTGTGAGATGGAGAGCAAACGGAAACTGCTGCAGTCTTCTTGGTCTTCGTTACAAGCCTATTTAGTGATTCCAAAGTACATCCCCAGGATCAGTGACAGGAAACCATCATGACGACTGTGCAGAAGCCACAGCACACCTCTGTGTAACACCAACTATGCCACAGGAACATCTGGACAGCTATGGTGGATACATTGAGCAAAATACTTAAGGGGACAATGGAATATTCAAAGAAAACTTAGTGCTTTAACAGGAAAAGTGACATGCTGGGGATGTAATTTCATGGAAGGCTGTACTGATCTCTTCAAACAGTAACAATTACAGAGAAATTCATTTCAACAAATGACGCCACACCCAATAGGAGGCATTTTGATATTTCAGGCACAACTCCAAGCAATAAAGCGCATTTAAAGTGCAAATTTGATATTCTCTTTCATATTTAAATTTTACTTGTTAAAATACTTAGTAAGTTCCTTAGTATCTATATAAATACAATGAACAGTAGTTGATACACCTGGAAATATTGCACAAATCAAAACGAGACTCTAAAAGAAAAATGCTAGAGAGTCTCAGTTATTAGAAACAGTCTAAATAACTATATCATCCTTTGTTTAATGCCTTAAAATCATCTGCATCTGTACTGATTAACTCCTTTGGCCAAGCTTTCTTTAAAGAACTGGATATGCATCTCATTAACAGTCATACATATAATTCTCCATACTGTATTTTCTTTCACAAATGTGAAACTTAACCAACCTCCATAAAACTTCATCCTCAGGAATTACAATTCATGCACTGCAACCATCTTCACCAACATCACAAGAACTAAGAGAAAAAGTGAACTGCGTTCCTGTGGAGGAGGATGGAAAACAGAGCTGACTTACAGAAGTAAAACACAGAGACCCAGCCAGATCCGAGAGGGTGATCTCCGATTACATCCTCACTTCCATTTCCTACTGAACATTTTACTCACTAAGGAGCAGAGTAGCATAATATTCCTGCAGTGTTTAAAGAGAACTGCAGGCAAATACTTAATGTTCTTTTGTGCAAGCATCCTAGATTTTTTCTCTTAAATACATTATGATTTATAATTGTGTCGACGAGCCTATCTTCCACCAAGATTAAGGCTCAATAAAGCTGAACTGATGGGGTAATATTTCTGAAAATTCATCTGGGAGAAAAAAATGGGGCAAGAAAAAGACTAAACAAATTCCTGGAGTCAATGTTTTTATATAATGGACAATAAACATATTTCCCTAAGACTAGGAGATTAAAAATAAATTTAAAATACAAAACTTTTCCCCTAAAGATAAAGGACAAGTTGTAAATAATGTTTCTATAACAACTTCCAAATAAACCAAGAACCTACTAATTTCACCAGTGTGTTTTACTTTAGCGAAATAAAGGTACGAGAGCGTCCCGTGTGTGATCTGTGAGGCCCGTTCTCGTTTTCCTTCACAATCAAAGCCCACGTCTGAATGCCCACGTCTGAATGCCCACTGGGGCTGCCGTCCCCACAGCCTGTCTCCATGAATCGCAGTGCTTTGCTGACCTGTCTACTCACTGTATACTCACAGTACCTAGATTCTGTGAAGAACTCTCCAAGCTTTCATGATTCTCTGCAGAAGTGCTAGCAGGTGAGAGTAGGATGCGATTTGTGTTGGCCACATATTAACAAATCCATGAATGGTTTGTGTCCATTCAATGGCAAATACACCGGAACGGTTCTCAATAGGTAAGGGAAGACTGTGTCAAAATGGTAGCAAATGTTACTTCCACAATTTCCAGTGAAGCATTTCCTGTTGATTCTCTCACAAAGAAAGGGGCAGATAATTTCACTAGTATACACTTTTTAATGGAATCCTTAGAAAACTGAGTGACTTTTTGGCCAACATTCCTCTTGCAGCATTTCTGGCCAACTGATCAAAACAAAACTTGACCTTGGAAGGTTATCTATTTGAAAGATACCAATTCCAATTAAAGCTGCTACAGGTGAACAAGCTAAAGATGACATGATTTGGGGAACAAGAGGGCGTATGGCCTGTCCTGTCCTGACAAATGGTCTGAAGCATGATTAGCATTGTGCACATGGTCCCTTGGAGGCTCCACAGCTACCTTCTGTAGCACAGTAAAATAAATAAGCATATTGCCTTTGAAACACTTTTTAATACCTTTTAATAAAACACAATTTCTCCTCCTCAACTCTATTTCTCTTCCCAAATCCTGTCTGATTTTCAAGAAACTGTCATTCAAACATACAACAACATAACAAAGGACCCCTGGAAAACCCAGGAAAAACAAAAGTATTGAGAATTCCAGCTTTTCTCAAGACAGTCTTAACTTAAATTTGTAATTTTTCTCAAAATATTTTAACTTGTTTTGTTATACAAAATAGTTTTAAATCCCTATGTGTCCATCAAAGTTTTGTGCAAACATTTCAAGTCCATTATTCCAGTCTTCGGGTATTAGCAGAATCAATAAATACAAATATTACAGTAAAGACAATTTAAAATATATACTATGGAATCTTAAAACAGCTATCATAGATCCATATGCCTACAGGGATCAAAACTGAATTACCAGCAACACTCTAGCACCAGCATATTTCATAATGGATACATCTGTAGGTACAGGTTTCCAGATACATCTTAAGCTTTCTTTCCAAAATTTACCCAGAAGCAAATACAAACACAAATAGTGTGTAGGGGGGTGGGGGTGGGGGATTGTATCAAGATTGTAAAGCAACATATAATTGGTTCATATATAATATGAAACGTTTCCAGCCTATGAAATTTCTCTGGTAAGTAATCAATAGTAACACTTGTTTGCTGATCCTAGAAGGGAAAATAAAACCTATACAGACTTCCCGTTAAAAGCCTGATATCCTTTATTCATCACAGAGCTTTTGCATAGACCTTTTAATTATACAAAATACTGGTCAGAACTCTGCTTACTGACCGCCATCTTCCATTATCACTGATATTTTTGATAAAATAGGTAGCCTTATTCATAGGAGGAATAAGTGAAAAAGAACAAGTTTCTGATAACCACAATTAATACAGACCTAACCAAAAAAAGAAAAGAAAAAACCAAACCCACTACTGTCGAGTCGATTCTGACTCATAGCAACCCTACAGGACAGAGTAGAACTGTCCATAGGGTTTCCAAGACCGCAAATCTTTACAGAAGCAGATTGCCACATCTTTCTCCTGCAGAGCAGCTGGTGCATTCGAATCACTGACCTTTCAGTTAGCAGCCGAACACTTTAACCACGGTGCCACCAGGCCCTCCATACTATAAACCTTAAAAGGACTAAACTAGCAATGCACATGTCTTGCCTGCTAAGTGGAGTATTATGCATCTTATGATGTGCAGAGGGAGGACAACATGATTAGAGCCTTCAGCAGGCTGCTGAGACGGGTAAGCAAGTGTCTCTGCGTTTACCTGAGACAAGTATGTTCAAATGGCGTGTATTTCAACCAGGGTATGAAATGGAGGAGCCAGACTAGCAGAAGATTCCACGCTTTAATATTTAAGATGTGCAGGCTTTCAATGAACCTCCACCTTGGTAGCAAATGCCAATGAAGATATTCCAGGACAGATGAGCTTGTTCTACAAAAGTAAACTGGCAGGTGATGGCTATGTATTTAATGTATCTTTGGTTTAGGAAGACGAGAATATCGATTAGTGGCCAAACAATCCCCAGAAGGAAAACTGCCACTCAGAGCCTGCATGATTTCTTTTCTTTGTGTTTGTGGTCTTGGGATGTTTGTCTTGGCCTGGAAGTTGTGAGGCTCTAATTGGGGGTTGCTTATTTGTTTTTGTTTGAAAGAGCCAGAAGGGGGGCGGAGCTTAGATGCTTTCGGATTAGGATTATTTGTAAGATTTGTCTGACTAGATGTTGGCTGAAGTTTTGATGAATTACATGGTGTGATTACTGGTGACTTCTTACAAGTGGTAGTCTTACTTGGAGATGATTCAGAGACTGAAGGAGGTACCAAAGAGTTCAAGATGGATGGCTTCAGAAGTTGCAGGGCCTTGGGCTGTGATGCGTAGCCTATGGGCGAAGACTGATTTCTCACAACTCTCTTAGCGTGGTCTGCTGTACTTGATTGCAGAGAAGTGGGTACAAACTGCATGTCACTAATGTTATTATTTGCCAAATGATAAGGCTCTGTAGCATTCACGTTTATGTTCAAGTTTGCTTCAGAAGGTGTACTATCAGCCACGTCCTTAGTGAACTGTGGGCTTGACGACAAAGGCAGGTCATCCAGACCACACTTGCTTTCTTGTTGCAAGCTGTGTGTGAAGCTTTCGTCCAGATGTGCAACCCCCTGATATGTGCCCCGGGGAGCACAATCATTGTGGGCCTCGGTACGCGGCAGCTTTATTAGTTTTCCCTGGGCGTGGTCTGTGGGTCTGGGAAGGCTGCTGGAAGGCTGTAGTACTTGAGGCTGTTAAAAATTACAAACAAGATTAGCAACAATATATTTTAGAAAGCCACCCATAATTAATGTAGTTCCAACTGGGCTGTTTTGGTATATATTATGATATAATATACGAAGAACGTGGTGGTGTTTTTAAGAAATGAACTGCAATATTCAAGTGAATTCATGAGACACATACAAGAGTGATAATGTAAACAAAAAATTATACACGCAGTAAATACTGAACAAGATCCAAAATTAAACAAGGAAAAAGAAAACCTTAAAGTACTGATTTATTGTAGAAAACAACTTCCTGATTCATTAAGTATTTAAAATCTTACATGCAAGACAGCTCAACAGAATAATTTCCACAGCACTTTGGCTTAATCTCCATAAAGCATTCAGACTGTGACCATAAGACTATTATTATCTCTTTTAAAGTTTTTTTTTCTACCATGTTACCACACTTAACTTGAAGACGGTTGTTAAAGGTGTCAAAGTGCTGTGTCTCTGTTGAGAAAATTACCAGCAGATAAACAAGATTTAGAATGAAGATTATATTCTCAGTTGAAGTGTAATTCTAATTATTTAAACAAAAATAGGTCAATACATTTAGTTAATGCTAATCTATCTTTAATATTCTTGTTGAAAAGTTCAGAATGAAACGTTTTCAAAGCTTATTTTTCCTATTCTCATTGCCATACAAGGGACCAACTAAGGTTCTCTAATGCTGAAAATGTGGAAAATAGCTAGATAAACCCTGCTCAAGAATGAACATCCGTTTAGCACATTGAAGATTAACGGCCTCCCAAGCAGAGAAGCCTAGGATAGCACAGTTTTTAAGGCCACACAGCCAGTTCTCTGGAGCTCAATGTGTGGTTATGCTCTGTACAAATCAGAGAAAACATGCAATTGCCATTACTTTCATGCCTTTGGTAAAAGATTATGAATCCTGAAGGTCTCTTTCAATGGCCCAAATACTTAAAATATATGGGGCAGTCTACTGTTCATGTACTGATGGCCATGGGTGGCTGCTACAAATGTATAATTACACACACACACACACACACACACACACACAGACACACACAGACACACACATACAGACACAGTCTTTCAATTAAACAACTCAGGCTGGAAATGTCAAGCAGTTTGGCACAGGGCTTTGAAACATGAGCTTTAGAGGATTATTTCGTACTAGTAAATATATATATGTATTTCACTATGTGAAATCCACCAACACAATCTACACATTATCTCTAACTTTTCCTATAGATAGGGCAGACCTATTTACACCATATCATTTGTGTGTTTTTACTTCCTTCACTTTTTCGTCTCCTTCCTGATCAGCACTGGACGATGCAGCCCAAGGCCAGCAGTCAGGGATTAATTTATGGCAGGGTTGTGGTGACAGAGAACAAAGCAAAGCTCACTGACTCAGGAGGGATGGTTGGCAAGGATGGCATAGGGCTGCCTTGCTATTTAAAAAGCAAAAATCAAGACAATGGCACTCAAAATTAATCCTTATAGAGGTACGCTACATTAAACTCTTAGTTACTGCATCATGTTTAAAAAATAAGCAAGCCATCCCAGTTGTTAGTCACCTCAAGCTAAGTGTCTAGGACTTTAAAGTTATCTGGGCATTTTCACAATAAATCGCCACAGAGATGAGTATACTGCCCCTCAAGACAAAAGGCAAAAAGTCACCGTGCAATTAATTCAGCAGACTCTCCATGGGGTTCCCTGAAAAAAACAACCATGCCAAAATGGTCACAAACCTCAGAAAGATTAGGGACAAAACAGAGCAGGACCACATTGAGCAAACCAAAATCTACCAAAGAAAAAGATAAGCATCCAGAGAGAAAGGGGCCACACCAAATGGCTGACTGAATGGGAATTTTTTTCCCTTTTCACCTCCTTTCACTTTCAAACACGCTAAGATATTGTAGCCTCTAGTGCAACTTAAGAACTTTGAAAATACCAGTGACAATTTAAAAAATGATTATTGTAATATGCCTATTGCTAGTAAGAAAAAAAATGATATAAACGTGCTATCAGCTCAAAACATAAGGTATAATTTTCAAATTAAGACAAAGTTGTAAACTGATTATTAGGACAACCAAACCTGTAGAAAAGGGGTACTGGGAACTACTACAGATAAGTTATTCATCTGCACTGTTCTTTATGACCACTGCCTATCACAGAAATACGAATCGGGTAATCAGAATGACATGCTGCTCATATTAAATGCAATAAAGCTCCATATTAAACATTAAAGAGCTAAAGAGAATAAAATACTGAGTCCTTTAATTGAGAGAGGTTAGACTGAATAATTATATAAATAATTATCTAAAGTATAAATTAATTAAATTAGTGATTTCTATATACTACATAAAAGAGCCCTGGTTGCACAGTGGTTAAGTGCTTGGCTGCTAACGGAAAGGTCAGCGGTTTGAACCACCAGCAGCTCCACAGGAGAAAGATGCAACAGTCTGCTTCCATAAAGATTACAGTCTTGGAAGCCCTGTGGGGCAGTTCTACTAGCCTGGCTATCTACTATAGGGTCGCTATGAGTCTGGAACTGACTCGATGACAATGGGTACACGCTAAAAGTGAGTCCTTGGGTGGTGCAAATGGAAAATGCACTCCACTGCTAACCAAGAGGTTGGAGGTTTGAGTCCACTCAGATGCCTGGCTATCTACTTCCAAAAATCAGCCACTGAAAACCCCATGGTCCACACACTTGTACTCTGACACACATGGGGTCACCATGAGTCTGACCTGACTTGACAGCAACTGCTTTTTTTTAAACTATGTATCATGCACTGTACTGTTTCTGTCCTGAGGGATCTAGTGAAGGTGTGAGGAGCTAGTTCTTTGGACAAGCCAGCCAGGTGATTTTCTCCTTTCCTCCCCCTGCTGGCATCTTAGGCCTCAGAACTCCCTGTCGTCCCAGGCCTGATGTTTGTTAGCAAGATTAAAAAGATACAATTCTGGGCTAAGCGCCTCCCCCCTCAGGAAGTCAGAGGGGCGTGATGTAGTAGGATGTCTGTTAGCAGGGTTAAAAAGATACAGTCACTTCCGCTGGGGTACAGAACAGCTGGGAGAAGAAGTCTTCTTAGTCTCCTCAGCTATGGTGCAGGTGAGGCACACACAGCATAAATGTACAGTCCACCTAAGAGGACCTACCTGGCCAGGGGAGACTAGCAGTAGGTAGGGTTGCATTTAAACTCCTCACCCATGGCACAAAGTGGGGTGTGCAAGGAAGTTTTTGAGGGGGCACTGCTGATTATGGAATGTTTCCCACTGTATGCTGTCTGATTCTTGTAAGTAACAAAAGCTACTTTCCTAACGTCTGTTCAGGTTCTGATCACAAGGACATGATGTTTATGGAGCAATCCATAATTAGTTATTGGTGCCCTTTTTCTAAATGGCCTCCTGGCTATCCAGAAATTGGACACAACCTGTGAGCAACACATAGATTTGGAGTGTTGTCTTACAGCAATGGTGTGGTCGAGCAGGACGTGCTGTCCTACGGAAGGAGACAGTCAGCTGAATAAAGATGAGATCAGGTCTCAATCTAACAACATATGGGCACAAAATGAAACCATATGGCTGACTGGAGAGGTCACTGAAGGAATCCAAGAATCACAAATATCTGCGCTGAGTTCTAAAATGATGTGCAGGAGTTTGTCAAGTAGACAAGAGGGAATGAACATTCCCTTGTGCAGAGGGCACTGCATGGTAAAGGCACAGAAGCAATAAACAAATGAATAAACAAATACAGCATGTTCCTGTAACTTCAAATGGTCAGACTAAATTTAGGAGGCACAGTGCAGAGTGCAGGCAAGGGCCAGCTCATGGAGGTCAAGTAGTTCTGACTTTGTACTATAGGTGGTGGGGAGACACTGATGAGTTTTAAGCACAGGAATCCTAAGATCCAGTTTGTGTTTTAGAATGATTACTCTGGTGGAAGCTGTGAGGAACATAATGGGAGAAGAAAGATGAGACTGTAAGCAAAAGAGCTATTGCTAAATAGCTGAGGTCATAAATTCTACGGATCTGAAATTAAGATAGTGGCAGAAAGACTGGAGAGGACCTGAAAGAGGTTCTGAAGATGGGACAAATAAGTCGCTGTTTGGAGGACTCGAAGATGAGTTCCAGGTTTCTGGCTCTGCAGATGCAAGATGAGGTACTGCCTGTATCTAAACATGCCTCTGGGGAAGCTGCCCACCTGCTCATTCATTTCACAGCTTTGCAGCTCACCAAACCCGGAGGGCAAAAGGAATACCCCTCACTACTGCAGAGGGCACTTCAGGGAACCCTCTGAGTCACAAATGAGTACAGCCCCGTCTTGTAACTGGAAGAGATTACTGAAGCTTCAAAATGTAAACCTATCCCCAGAGTTAGAGTTAAGTGCCTCTGAACTGGACTCAGCTCCTTTAAGTCTTACTTTCCTTAGATACATAAACTTCAAAACACCATAGAGAGGAATTCTCAGGATAAATGGTTACATGTGTCAAGGTCAAGAGGTCAACAATAGGCACTATCAGATAGTTGTACAGGGGGCTGGCAAACACATTTAATGATAATTTTAAATGTTTACTTTGAGCTGCTTACAAAGATGACTAGAGACTATGAGCTCCCCACGGGCATGTACCAACCAAGCATCATTATTCATTGGCTGTTGCTGTTGTTGGTATTCCTAGTACTTGGTACAGAGCAGTCATTTAATATATATTTGCTAGATAAGTGAATAAATATTAGTGAGTGGTATATTCTAGAATTACTTCTTCGGCCATAAATGATCAAATGATACTTACCTATAGATCAAAGATGCAGCATTAATGCTCAAAATTTTTTTAAGTTTTTAAAAAACACTGATAAAAGGGAAATCTAATAATAGAAAAAAGCTTTGTTTTCTACAACTAAGTCTGAGATTAGCTTAATGATTCATATTTAGAAGGACAGTGTTAATTTGAACACAACTACTTCCCGTAATGACACACAAGCTTAGTCACCAAAAC